GCAGGATGATTGATACAGTGAAAAAGAAGATAAGCTGATGAGTGAGGAGCCCAATGAATCTCATCCCTAGAATGAGATTCAGCTTTGCCCATTCATTTGCTCTTTGTTAATCTGGTTCTCTCATTAATTATTATCGTTTAATTTATATACGGGATACTTTTTGCTATTGGGATAGTAAGTCTTCTGCGGCCGTTAAGCAAATAAAGTTAATCCGATTTCCACAAAGTATGAATATAACGAGTTTTATTGACTCGCTAGCCTGAATGTGGTTGTAGGAATGACAACCTGTTCTGATGACGTCTGCCATATGAGAGGCAAAAACCTCGAGAGCCTACTTATTAGCAAAAGAATATCTTAACACGTTTTTATTTTAATCGAAGGAGATTAATTCGGAGACAGCATCACAAGAATGCTCCAATAAAATCAACCTAGTAGAGCCAAGAGGAATTTGCCATCGTCTTCTGGTAGGATCAACCTTTATCAGACACACTCACTCAGACGCTTCTGAAGTTCCTGAATACGAGCTGTATTCACCCAACGATACTTGAACCCTGGTTGCATTGTATATAATTTCGATACGCTACCGTTGCACCACATTGCCACGAGTGCCAGTAGGGTCAGAGAGCAGATGTGACTTTATAGGCAAGCGATGCTTCCCACTTCACTTTGGCAAAATTCAGCTTTTAGTCCTATAGCATCTTATGCGAGTCAAAGTGAATAAAAAATCTTTTTTTATCTCCCAAGGTATTTATTAATGAAAGCTACTCTGAGTATCTTCTATGCTGACTAACTAGGACTTTTTATGATCAATATAACATAAATAAGCCTTATATTTTGAAGTTGAATTACCACTTTGGACTTTATATTTCATGGAAATTTATATGAAGTGTTTGGATAATCCTGTTTAAAAGATATGTGATTATTTGGCTAAACAAAGCTTATGAATCTGATTCGTTTGTGGACAATTTCTAGTTAGCTTATGTAGATGCTAAATACAAGAGATGCTGCTGGTTATATAGCCAAAAATAAATAGAGATACTAAGGAACGGATTGAACGGGACTGGAATTTATACTTTATGTTATGGATATGCTTACAAGCATTGTCTAAGGTTTTAACGCTTAGAGACATATAAGGGTTACTAGTTGCACCAGGAGGGGGATTTGACAACCTTGATGGTTGACATTAGTACTTAAGCCTATTGTCAGTTCTGGAGAGCCGGAGGGAAGGATGGAGGGATTTTTTAGTTAATTACTAGAGAATTACATCATTCGGGCGTAATAATGGAGTATTTGGACACCTGACACCAGTGGGAACATGACCTTACAATAGAGAGTTATTATGGTCTTAAATTATAAGAATAATCGAACTTTTGACATTTCCCATCGTTTAAATTTTGTATAAATAAAGTGATTTTCTTACTTACCATTGTATTTATTATCATCGCTTGTATTTGCATGAATTTAAATGATTGTGCTTAGATCGTGTTGCTTCAAGTGAATTCTATCCGAATTTAACAACACATGGCAACTTAGGCTCGCTAAACATCTGAAGAATATTTCACGCATCGACATATCACTCACTGTCTTCTCCACTTTTAAGAACTTTGGGACTTTTATACTGGAATACTGAGGCGGGGAAATCCTAGATTATGACGGTGACCCATTATCCTAATCGATCATTGTTTCCTATTCAGGAACCTCGTTGTCCTGCATCTACTTTTCCATATTCGCTATCGTTGGCCGCTGCTTTCGGCGGCATCTTGGCGTAGCGAACGGCATCAGTGTGGCTGGCGTGAGCGTCGGACAGATGGCTTTCCCAGGCTTGATCACGCATCTCTTAGAGACCTTTTCTGTGCGTGGTGGCACCCTGGTGATGGCAGGAATCTGTCTCAACATGTGCCTGACAGGTGCCTTAATGCCGCGATACATCATTGATCCAGATGCGGAACCGGGCGAAGGAGACGCCTCTAATCCAAATAAGTCCAAGTCTGAGTCGGAGGGGCAGAAGCGGCCTCCGCATGGTATGGTCCTCGGGCCGGCTGAGAATGGAGATTCAGTAGATCCAGCTGAGAGCCTCGCTGGCTGGGTGAATGAAGCCGAGACTGAAGGAACGACAGAAGCGCCCTACTTTGGTGACCTTCCAGCTCACCGAAGCTCGTTGCGTCTCCAAACGGGCTCTCAGAGGTCGTCTATCCACCCTCAGCTTACTGAGATGTCCATGTCAGGATTGATCGGTGGCGACTTGCTGATGGCAGAAGAGGCAAGGTCAGATTCCCGCGATGGATTGCATTCCATCCGAAGGTCAAGAGAAGCCAGCTGCAATGTCCAAACGGAAGGAGAAGAGTAAGAGATTATGTAATTAATTTTTACAGCATGTATTCAATTTAATCGACATGCGACATGTCAATGTTTTTATTTTTAAATTATGATATCATTCGATCTCAATATATCTATCTATATGAATTGTATAATGACCATTTAAATTTACTGTGAAGTAAAGGTAATATTTAGAAGTTGCTCGATCTTGTTTTCGTAACTTGGCCATATTGGTAGGAGGACCTAGAGAAACGCACCTAGTTCGGAGTCCAGAGTATGCATGATAATTCCCAGAGTCGCATCGTGGATGGGGTACATTCCCAGACGTTTTGTCGGCATCGACAGTGACCATTGCCATTCTCAGCACCACACTACAACTCTTCAAAGAGACAAGTGAAACTGATCCTTTGGCCGATTGTATGCTAAACAGTTGTGATGCATCTCTTTTGTCCCGGGCTATTCACCTATACATACAAAAGGCCACAGCTTCTTCGTATTCATACCTTCGATTAAAGGTAATGGTATTGATCAGTTGTAATTCTGTTAACGATGATTTGGGAATTTACCAAGTCAATGGTCCTAAACTGTAAATCACCAATACTATGACCAAGGACACAGGACTAGGCATGTTCCGCAAGTTGCCAAAATAGGGTCTAGTTAACACTATAAGGCTAAAGGAGACTGCGACCAAATAGGCCTCATATTTACGATGTAATTTGATTTTGTTAAGTCCACTTTCATATTAGAGTGTGCGATGAAGGAAATCTTGGGCAGATCTCAATAAGACAATGAATAGACTTGGATGTTTATACTTTCATAGTCCTCAAGACTCTTTTGTTTCGGGTGAAATGATGCTGAGCCTCATCCTACTTCCCATATTATAGACATCGTCACTGGGCCTTTTTAATATGAAAGCTTTACACTGATATTGAGTCAATAAAGCTATGAATAATGGTTTAACATTCGTATCCACTTATCCACATGTACATAAACAAATAAACAATATATAGCCAATATAAATAAAAGCTATAAATAGGCATGAAGATGAACTTACCGAATTCTTATATATCTCCCAAAATTAATTTTCGGTAGGGGTGCTGAAATTGTTACCAAAATCTTGTCATCTCTAAGAATGTTTGACAATTTACATGAGAGACTAAAACTTAGCACGTTTTCAGAGTGTCTCAAAGTCTTCATCGACCCACATTTCACTATAAACTCCTACTACAGCTGACCAAGGGAATCTGTCTTTTTATGGTTTGATTGACTTTCAAAAATCTCTTCATTAACTTCAACGCGAAACGATAGTTAACCTGATTTTGATGGAGCCTGATATTCATCAAAACCCATTTATTCTTTCCGTTGTAAGATTTATTAAATAGTGAGTCCGCCTGGATTCGGCAAAACTTTATGTAACTTTATTTGCTTATATCTTTGTCTATATACATGCCTGTGTTTATCTGTATTTATGGGTGTGAGTGCATGATCGTCTGTTAGAGAGTAAAATTTTTTGTATATGTATATGAATCTGAATTTATTTATGCTATAACTTTTATAAAACCTAGTCACCCTAGGTCTTTTTCTGTGATTAAAGACTAGTAGGCCCCACGTTTACATTGAATTCCAAATAATCCTTCTTGTCAACAGGTATTTTTATCCTGGACAGATTGCGATCTCGACCTTGCCTAGGTCTAGTCAGCATCCCAAGCTGGATTTGATACCAGGACGTGAGTATCGTGGCCACGAAATTTCACGTGGTAAAATTTAACTATCAGTCCTGAAAGTAGACTAACCGACATAGAGCGATTAAGCTCTTATTCAAGCATTAATGATAGTCAAGAAAACGACTTCCACCGCAAGCATTATTTTTATATTCTAAAGATAACTGTTTTTTCTATGGTATCTCACCTTTAATCTTTCTGTTTCTTGTGCCTCTAACCTCCTATTATTCGCACTCCACCTAATCCACCTTGTGACCGTTTTGTTGGGCTTTTGAAAAATTGATAAATTATGTCACTTGCTAAGTATAGATTCTCTTTACTTATCCAACCGTTGAGTTTGTCATTAATCTATCAACAAATTTAATGTTTTGCTAAAATCCAATTGATGATGGCAAGTAATATCACTTAAATGTGGTTTAATCGAAGATATGAAGACCAAGTTGATATGTCCTTTTGTATGTTCGCGGTCTCCTTTTGTTGTATAGGCGTTTTTTTAATCTTGTTTTCACAACTTGATCATATTTGCAGGAAGACCTAGAGGAGCGCACCTTGACGGAGTCCATAGTTTGCATATTAATTTCCAGAGTCGAACCGTGGACTTTGTACATTCCCAGATGTTTCACCAGAAATAAAGATATCACGACTGTTTTTCAGATAATTGGCCAAAGGATGAACTTCAATTGTCTCTTCGACGAGTTGTGTGTAGTGTTAATAGTGGCAAGACTCACTGACGATCCCGGTGAAATGTCTGGGGATGTACCAAGTCGACGGTCCGACTGGAAATTATCATGCATACTATGGACTCCAGACAAGGTGCGTTCCCTCCGGTCTTCCTGCCAATATGACCAAGTCGCGAAGCCAAGGTCAAGCAACTTCTATTTAATGTGGTTTGCTGAATTATAGTTTAACACTGCGACGATCTTTTATCAAATTAACGATAGTCCAGGGGTCATAGAGTAGTCTTCTAACGATCTAACCATATAAGAACATCAAAATATTACACTGGAGTCTTGAAGAAACCCTTCTACCAATCCTTCGACTTAATTTAACAAAAAATATAATATACGAGCTGATTGCAAATTTTCTGGAATCTTTAGACCACCCTATGGTAACAAATCTTTCCTCTTAGTTTACTTTTGTCAACTATCTATTATCCTGGCCAGGCCTATAGATGTCGTAATGAATTCCAAGAGCATTCATTGAAGCCCATTTAAAGTTTGTTTTCCCTGATTTCTTCAAGTGTTTCTTTACTACTGTAGTAAGCCTTCCCTTAACATACTTCATCTGGCTGCGATCAGAACACCTATATTTGTTCATGTTATATAGACTAATCTACCTAATTACTTTTTAATACACATATTTTTGCATAAAGCTGCTTTGTATTTTTTCCCTCTTATTGTCTTTATCCATTGTTTGTTAAGCGGCTTTTCTCAGATCTGTCTTTCCAAATCAAAATCTGTTGACGATACAATGAATCAGCCCATAAGTCCTTTGTAGGTTGAGATTCAATGTTGTTCTTGCGCATTTGTAGTCCATTCTGCATAAATCGCGCCTATCCTGAGATAATTAAACCATCCTTTGTTCGCTCACTTACTCCTCTTCAATAGTTTACAAACATCATGATTATCTTATACACGCTTACTTTCATATTACATATACACATCGTAATTCATAATTATGAATGCACATAAACTAAAGTATTCAATGGTCACACATAATTTCTCATGTGACTTTAAAAATTTACATGCCAATACTAACATAGAACCCTCATAGAATCGCACAAGCACAACAAGTACTTATCTTAGTATCGACAAGTGCACAAACATTTTTGGCCATTAGTTTAAAATACATTTTAATATACTTTAAGATACAGACTCACCTTGTTTCGCCTCAATTTGGCACATAAATTCTATTTGGGCGGTGCAACATTGAATTATTCGTTCCTATGAGTCTCATCAGATAAAAATAGGACCGCTGATAACTTATTTTACACATATACTGAATTATCGTTATTGGCTTTTGGGAAAAATTTATGGTTTGTTTCATTGATGCTTAAGCTTGATCAGATTCTAACATCATTTAAGGGTTGAAACAAAATAATTATATGATAAAGTTGGGCGAAATAAATTATTCGTCATGTTTTTATGCTGAAATCAGCCTACGAATATCTTGTATTTGTTTTTTAGCAAGATTTTAGGATTGTCAATAGATCATAAAAAGAGCTAACGGTGACTTAAGGACCGACAGTTGAGTTCTTCCGATAATCGAATCAGTAGACTTCACGTTGCCGTTTCATTTTCTTGAAATTACCTCAAGGGTTTTTTCATTTGCAATTTTGACCTCACTTTGGTCTTATCAGATTTCCTTACTGGGATTCTAAGCAGGATGTTCGTGAGACTAAGGAGAGGTTGAAGCTGCAGTCGACGATAGCTGAGAAAACCTTGTAAGAAGCAGTGCTATGCATAAGTTGTTGGGAAAGTAAAGTCTACTAACCTAATTGTATGACTTCCAAAAATCATTTCTTGAATCACTTTAAGCTACCTAGGCCGCGTCAAGTTCCCTTTCAAGAATAACTGATAATTTCGTAATCTTATTATTTGATATTAGAGAGAAATGTAGCCATTGCATAATCTAGAAAAAAGAAAAATAGATTTTAAACGTCTCTATATATATACGTTTGATTGAAATCCATCTAATTTAATAAGGTATGAAGAAAAAAATAGGTTTCGAAGAATTCCTAAGTGATATAATGTGACATAACTTTCCATTTCGAAGAAAAAGTTGGTTAAAAGGAATTCGTGATTGGATCTCTTCGGAACCCGAAAGTCTGCCGCGTAGGGAAGAGTGTTGTATTGTGTGAAGAAGTCCTTGGCTCATCGTCCAGCAACTCCAATGAATTCGTGATAAGCTTTCGTCTGTACCGCCGTGACAGAAATAATCAGAGCAAAAATCCATAATTTACAAAATAGTGCAAAAATATACAAAGATATGAAGATGTTGTGGCCTCGCAGTTTCCTTTCGATTTATAGAAGTGGGTTGACCTCGTTGTCGCAATTTGGTCTTGTTGTCAGGGTGACTTAGCAGAACGCACCTTTTTCAAAGTCCTTTGCCATAGTAGTTATCATAATTCCCAGCATCAGACCAGAAACATGGTACATTCTCAGAGGTTTCGCTGGCATCTAAGTCTGCATCATCAAAGAGTCTTGCCATTCTCCGCATCAAGCTACAAATTCTTCAAACAGACATGCGAGGTGAATCCATCGACCATCGTTCTGCCGAAACGGCTACAGTATCACTCTTTCTGTCCTGG